GAGTCGGGCCTAGCTGGACCTGGCGAGAGCCCCACAGTGCCCCACACACGACGGGCCCCACTGCCCGTGTGGGCAGCACTGGGGAAGGCGCAATGAAGGCGCTCTGCAGACCGTCACACCAATGTGGTAGCACCATCTCAGCAGCATCAGGGTGGCGGCCAGGCAGAGAGATGTGTCAGCGCACAGCGCAGTGTCCCTGGGCCACCCACCTTGGTGAACCAAAGGAAATCCTGCATGAGCAGGCAGGAGTAGGTGTCATCGATCTCCACCACAGGGATCTGGTCTTCATGGGTCACCAGGATGTTGTCGTCCTTGTAGAAGATCGCTGTCAGGTAAAGGCCCCTGCGTGGGAGGGACAACAGACTTCAGCGTCCCCCCCAGCTGCCAGCTCCACTTCCCAAAGGGTCTCTCCCCCAAGGGCAGAGGAGACGCCCTGCCCCAGGTCTCAGCTGCTCTCCCACAGCCCGTGGCAGGAGAGGCACGCAGCCCGTACAGGAGCAGGAACAGGTGAGCCTGGCCGATGCCAGGGCAGGGTGGTGGGGCCATGTGCCTGAAGGCCAAGGCGGCCGGTGGGAGAGTGCTGGGGTCTAGAGGAGGGTGGGGAGTCGGGTGATGCTCAGAGATGGTGCAGGGATCTGGGTACGGGCACAGCTTGGCCAGCCAAAGGGAGATCCATTTGGTTTCTGGGCAATGGGGTCACCTCCACTGACACCACCAGCTCATGCCAGGCAAGAACTCTACCTCTGAGCACCCCCCGCCCCCCCGCTTGCACCAGCAGCTCCTGGCTGCACCCAGGGTGGGCAGCCCTATGTCCCTGCTGGGAGAGGGGCTCTCCGCCACCCCCGCGCACCAGCCTCTCACCGCTTCAGCGTCTTGAGAAACTTGCTGCCGGGGTGGAAGAGGTGCTTGAGGCTCTTGGAGACCGAGTGCTTCCTGCTCTCTGGTTCTTGCAGGCCTCTGGGGAGCAGAGAGCAGAGGCTGCTGCAGCAGATGAAAAACTGCACTGGCAGCCGACAGCACGGTGTGCCAACCCGGTGGGAAGGCTCTGCCAAGGTCTCCACTGCCTGAGCTGTCTCCCTGCTGTGCTCATCCAAGGGATAGGCCACCCCAGCTCCCTGGACCACAGCAAAGCCCTCGACAACCCTGGGGGTCCTGGCTGAACCCCCCACCCCAGCCTCCCCGCAGCGTTGTGCCGTGCACTCACCGTGGCAAACACAATGCTGGTGGACGGTCTTCACCTGGCCCAGCAGATGGTCCAGAGCTTCAGCTTGTCCCCTTCGCCGTGGGGCCCGGCCGTCATACTCCCGCCAGTCTGTGGGGGACAGACTTTCATGACCCCCGGCACCCCTTGGCCTGAGGGAAAAAGGGGTTCCTGCCCCCTCCTCCTCATGGCCACATCACCTCCTGGCACCCCACTTGGGTGTCCCACAGGCACACCATGGCCCGGCAGCAGTCATGGATGTGGCCACATTTGGGTGGTCTGGGCTTTGGGAGACCCCCAGCTTTGTGCCACTCCTCCCAGGAGCACTCCAGCTCTGCACAGCACCCCATGGCCACCCAGCAGCACGGCAGGGACAGGACAGAGGGAAAAAACAACATCCCATCTGTTGCTGCTGCACTTCACTGGCCCTAAAAAATAAAATTCTTTCCAGTGTCTTCCTCCAGGTCTTCCCTGGAGCTGCCGCTTTCTCCAGGCGAGTGCCGGGAGCTGGGCTCACCTCGGCAAACACATAAATAAGCTCTCCTGCCAGCTCCACCCGTCGCGGGCAAGCAGCCGGACCGGGCGCAGGGCGGGGGGCCCCGC